CCCCCCCCCAGCGCGAGGAGGACGCCGCCCTCCTGGGCCCCCTCCAGCTCTTCCCCCCCAACGGCTCCATCGACCTCATGTACTTCCCCTACTACGGCAAGAGAGTCCACGTGAGTGACACCCCCGACACCCCCCGAGACCCCCCGAGACCCCCGGGGGGGCCCCGAGACCCCCCAACACCCCGGGAGGTCGGGGGGGTCCCAAAAATCTGGGTGTCCCCGTGGGTGTGGGGGATTCTGTGTCCCTGAGGTTGTACTGAGGGATTTGGGGGTTGGGACGACCCCCCCAAGGGGGTTTTGGGGGTCTCCTGGTTGCTGGGGGGCTAAAAGGGGGGCCCCTGAGATCCGAGACCACCCCGGGGGGTCGGGGGGGGTGGCCCCAAAAATCTGGGTGTCCCCGTGGGTGAGGGAGGTCCTGTATCCCTGAGGTCCCACTCGAGGGATTTGGGGGTTGGGACCCCCCCCCAAGGGGTTTTGGGGGGAGGGGATCAGATGTTTGAGGACCCCTCCAATGGGGTGTGGGGGCCCTGAGATCCGGGACCACCCTGGGGGGTCGAGGGGGGGGTCCCAAAAATCTGGGGGTCCCCATGAGTGGGCGGGTGAGGTCCTGTATCTTTGAGGTCCTACCGAGGGATTTGGGGGTTGGGACCCCCGGGAATGGGGGTGTTGGGAGACCCCCCCGGTCACCTGGATCCCTGGGAATGGGGGTCCTGGATCCCTGGGAATGGGGTTTTTTATCCTGCTCTGGACACCTGGATTGCTGGGAATGGGGGTGTTGGGTCCCTCCTGGATCCCTGGGAATGGGGGTGTTGGGACCCCCCCATTCACCTGGATCCCTGGGAATGGGAATGTTGTCCCCCCTGAGACACGTGTCCCTGGGAATGGGGTTTTTTTTTCTCCCCTGGATCCCTGGGAATGGGGGTGTTTTTTCCCTGCTCTGGACACCTGGATCCCTGGGAATGGGAATGTTGTCCCCCCTGGTTACCTGGATCCCTGGGAATGGGGCTGTTGGGTCCCTCCTGGATCCCCGGGAATGTTTGGGGTTTTTTTCCCTGCTCTGGACACCTGGATCTCTGGGAATGGGAACGTTGTCCCCCCTGGTCACCTGGATCCCTGGGAATGGGGATGTTGGGACCCCTCTGGGCACCTGAATCCTTGGGAATAGGGGTATTGGGTCCCTCCTGGATCCCTGGGAATGGGAATGTTGTCCCACCTGGTCACCTGGATCCTTGGGAATAGGGGTGTTGGGTCCCTCCTGGATCCCTGGGAATGGGGTTTTTTCCCCCCCCCGGTCACCTGGATCCTTGGGAATGGGGTTTTTTTTCCTGCTCTGGATCCCTGGATCTCTGGATCCTTGGGAATGGGGTTTTTGTCTCCCCTGAATCCCTGGGAATGGGTTTTTTTCCCCCCCCGATCACCTGGATCCCCGAGAACGGGGGTGTTTTGTGTTCCCTCCCCCCCCAATTCCCGTGTCCCCCCCCCCAGGTGAACTACACGCAGCCGGTGGTGGCCGTGCAGTTCCCCAACGCCACGGCCAACGTGGATCACCACGTGGAGTGTCGGCTCAACGCCGCCGGCCTCCGCACCGACGACGAGCGCGACAAGTTCGCCGGGCGCGTCGCCTTCCGCCTCCGCATCAACCGCGACTGACCCGCCCC